ACTCCCTAAAAAAGTATACAGAAGTGAGGGAATCTTAGGTAATAAAGTTAATGCTAAACAAATAGGTCTAAATCCGAAGTGTAAAAATAGCTCTGAGCTGTACTCATAAATGTAATTGATTAATAAAGTCACCTACAGAATCAGACATATTTCTGGTGCAAAACAGACTACCTCTTATTTTGCAAAGGATTTTCAGAACCCTTCCCCATCAGCTTTTTATTGCCGTCTGTGTCCCTAGGTCTCTTTTATACCTTGGCACTATGACTGGCCCTACTAGATTTAGTCTTAATCCTTTATTTAAAAGCTATTACAGTAAAATGAAGGACCCATTATTATACTTGTTACACCAGTCAGTTTTGTCCATTTATTATACAGTGTTATCTTAATAATCACTAACCTAAAAACATGTTCGTAAAGTTTTAAAGCTTCACAAATGTATAGCAGCACCTACTTGCAATTTAAATAAAGGTCTACATTATAGATCTTATAATAAACTTGTCTGTAAAAGTAAAATTGCTTGTACAATAATCGCACAAGAGGAATACTGAAAGGGATTAATCCCCTATACATCTGACTTTTCCTTTGTAATAATAAAGCTGTTCTTAGGACTTTGAAAAATCTAAATGAATATGTTCTTTTGAAATGTTTTCATCTTATTCTAGTAATGAAGTAAACCCTAAAGCTTCACATTTGCTGGCTTAGTGCTTTCACCTATTTGCTTTCTATACTAGGCACAAAGCAGCATAATAAGGGACATCCTCAAGGTGTCATTGTATAAAAATAACCGCTAATAATCTTTTTATGCATGCGTATTGCCAGAATCCACTAAGCGCAAATGTATGAATCTTTTGGTGGATCTGTCGGTTTTAAAATGATTCAGACAAACTTGCCATCGCTTGATATGCATGGTCATTGAGAGAATCTAATTATTTTTTTAAAGTACCATCTAGAGCGAGGTGCTTAAGTTGAGTAGGTGGGTACCATCTGTAGTGTTGTGTCACTGCAACAAGAGTGCAGAAGTTACATTTGAGCATGTCTTGCTATATTAGGCTTTGACATATCTTTTCATTAACAAGCTTCTCCCTACATTGTTTTTACTCTTTCACATAGCACTGACAGTTTTTCTGCAACATTTTATAAAAAACATTGAACTATTCTTAAAAAGGTCTGCCCTAGAACATCCATTCTAATCCCCCTCTCATGGTCATGCACAAACAATCAGGGCACGTTCCCACCATAATCGGACCATAAACGCAATTCAACAGAGAACGCCGGCCACTGTCAGAATATAAGATTTTCCAACTGGCTCCTATGATCAGCTGATCGAGGGATGCCGGCCGAAAAAGCGAGCCGACAGTGGCACCCACTGTGTGAATTCCGGCCACTTCAAGAACTGGCCTAAATTCGCAGTGTATTGGCACCCTTAAGCTTCCACAGGTACATGTCTATCTGGCTTTGTGTTGAATTATCACACACCAGATGAGGCAGGAATAACTTCTGTATATATTGTTGGGCAGTATAGGTTAGTACTAAGGGGCTTACAGGTAAAAAAAAGTAGAGGAGCCGCAGTCCTCGGATATGGTGGCTGCATGAGTTTTCTTTTTTGCAGGCTTTTTTAAAACCCTTAATTTGGTGATCCTGCAAGCAACACATTTTTGTCCTAAGGTAACAACGCTTAATAAATGTATGGTATCTATGAAGGAGACGCTAGGTCACCCTAGGCGGCTCTCCTGATTTGGATGACAAACAGCTACACCTTTTCTCATCTCTATCACATAGAGGGGAGTTGTTTAGAGGTTCACAGAGAATATCTGTAAAAGCAGATAGCAGTTAATATCCAAGCTGATAAGTAATAATTTCCATAAAATCAAAAGAAAAAAGTAAAAATACATGGGACAATTCCCATTTTACACCTAAAATACAGAAAACAAAATAAAAAAAAGAATGTTGTCAAGGAAACTTAATAAACTTAATACAGTTATGTTTCATGGGAAGGATTAGATCTGAAGCTTCCTCTAAATGTCATAATGGGGTTACAGAGAGTCCACTACAAAAATGATTTATTAACATGCAAACACTTGCTAGGATAAAAAATCCTCTTAGAGTCAGATTTGGGACTAAGACCAATTGAACCATTTTCCCTAGAAAAATAAATTGAAAAAAGTCAAAACTGTGATTTCATAAATATGGTGACATAAATAACGACATAAATGACGGAAATAAAGAAGCACATATATCATGTGTTAAAAAAGAACTACAGTAATACCTTGGTTTACAAGTAACTTGGTTTGAGAGCGTTTTGCAAGACAAGCAAACATTTCTGAAAAATTTTGCCTTGATATACAAGCAATGTCTTGCAATAAGAGCAAAATTTTGTAGAAAAGCGCCACCCGAATAAGGCTTGTAGCAGTGCGAGCGATGAGTCTGTTTAACGACAATGCATGTCACATTGGATAGATTCCTTGTTAAGGTTTCACGAAATGAAAAAGATTCCATTGAGCCAAGAGATAGCAGTGATTCCGTTAGTGATAGTGAAAGTCGTCCTACACAATAATCCTCCTCTCTCTTGTCCCTCTCACACCGGCCACAAAAGGTACCTGTAATTGGTTTATTTTTCTTTATATTTTGTACGGTATTATATTACAGTACAGTATTGTAATTATTTTATATGAATATTTTTGGGTTGTGGAACGAATCATCTGAATTTCCATTATTTCCTATGGGGAAATTCGCTTTGATATACAAGCGCTTTGGATTACAAGCATGCTGCCAGAACGAATTATGCTCGTAAACCAAGGTATTACTGTACTTTTAAACTAATAGCAAAACATAATAAAAAAGAACTACTAATAAACTAATAGCAAAACATAATACATTAACTTAAAATCAGAAAATGTATATAATGCCCTAAAAGGATTTTGTAAATAGAACGTATAAACTAAGATTATGAAGTCAAAAAGAAATTTGTACAGTAGAGGGAAAGCCAGATTCCTTAATACACTAAATGATCTTCCCAGCATAATTCTAAAGAACTGAGAAAAATGCAGTTACAAGTACCGGTAGTGTTGTGAGAATGCATGTGAAGATTACAAAAAAGAAAAAAAAAATGACGTATTGGCCGCAAAGGAGTTTTGGGTTATGGGGCACATGCCCTGGGTGGCCAAGGTCTAGCAATGTCCCTGAATAAGGCATTGTTAAAGTAACAGGACGCTGTGCTATTAGGTGGCAGTTATGAAGATTTTAATATTATTAAACCACTTGATAAAAAAAAAAATTAAGTGCTGCAATTAAGAGGTGACATGGCTGCCAAACTGTAAATATACATGGGCACCTTTCCAGACATGTCTTGCCAGAAAGAAGCCTACAAGGGTGATGATCCAGTAGCGGTGCAACAGCAGCCAGACTCCACAAAGCCCCTGTACAATCACTACTGTATTGACACAGCAAAGAGCACATCTGCAAAGACACAATCTTTAGCATTCTGAAACTGGAATGCTTCTGCAAAAACACAATACTATATGGACATGAGGAACATGTCCATAAAGATATAATCAGTACCGTGCTGACATTACCAAGAACACGTTTGTAGAGACAAAAGTAGTACTGTACAGACAGCCAAGAACACATTCACAAAGACCCAATCACTACTGTACTGACACAACCAGTAACAAGTCTACAGAGATACAATCAGTACCTGACATACCAGAACCATAATTTAATCGAAAAGTCTTACCCTAAAATTGTATTAGGGTTAAAAAAAAAAAATCTAGATTTAGGGGAGAGGGATATGCATGCTAGTGTACAGCAGGTTGGGGAGAGAAGAGGAGTACGTACAGTGGTGAGGGCTTGGGGGTCAGGCACAGATGAGGGCAGTGGTGGAAGAATGATGGTCAGGTATGGTACTTAAAGCATAGGATGTGCGGGTACAGTAGTGATGGGTGGGGGCATGTAGGCACTGTGGTCAGAGTAGGGGGTGGGTGAAACTGCGACTGAGGATGGGGGTTTGGGGTCTGCATCAGGTTGGCTTGAAAAAATAACAGCTTGACCCCACCCATATATACGTGTCAGAGCATGCCATGTTCTCTTGTTTTACGCTGGTCATAAAAGTAATGATAAACAGTCTATTGATCACAGATCTTCAAACAATTGGGTGAAGCAACAAAGAAAAAAACCGCGCCGATCAAATCAGTTGTTCTCTGCCAGAACGATCAATGAATGACCCAATTACACATTTAGTGCAAATGGTTTTTAAAAGATGTATTTCTTTCATCAAAATAACAGTTCTATGATTCTTTCAGATGTATTGGTATTATTGGGAGTGCTAGTGGATGTACACACTATGCTAGCCCTGAACTGGTTAGAGAGTTGGAATCAGTTTCTTATATGAAAATGCACCCAATTATATTTAATATACTGTATACTACAGTATGTAAACAAGCTCCTAGAAGGGTTGACTCTGTAGCTAGTCACATTCTACTCTGCCCTAATGATAGAATCTTAAAAAATGAATCTAATTGCTGGTTTAGGAGAGGGCTGACAGTTCTTAAGTACAATATATTTTACAGAAGGAAGGACAAATGACTTCCAATGAACTGGTTTACTGAAGCAAACACATTTTTAAAATGTATACGTGCAACAACAGAATTAAAAAAAAAATGGGCCTGTTTCTCTCTCAGAACAAAGAACAGCAACGTACATATCCACTCACCGTGATGTTGTGTCCGTCAGGCTTTGCTCACTTGATGAAGATGATTCCCCCCTGGATCCTGAGGTTTTCTCTGAACGTTCTTCTTTTGTACTCTGGGACTTCTTTACCTTTGCAGACTTTTTCTTCTCACTGTCACTGTCATCACTTCCTTCTCCCAAAATGTCATCAACCTGAGAGCAACAAGTAGATTTTCAGGAAAATGTAAAGGAAATCATAGTGGATGAAATAAAAGGTACTCCCAGATATTTATGACAGTCATCCTATAAGGAGATTTATGAGAAGATGTCTCCAGCTGACAGATCTCAAGCAAATAACTGACAGAGAAGCCTGCTAACAGTCTTCTGTTCCTCCGAGGCAAACCTGCCTTGGGGTGTATGCAGGGTTCATAGACATGCACAGTCATTCAATACAAATATGTTCTAACAACATAGTTCAGTGGTCAGAATCTGCCCTCACCCATGACCAACATACTACTAATAACTTGAAGAAGTTCAAAGAGCGTCTGTGAGGATAAAAATATAATAGCCGCCACTGCCAACTGGTTTTTGAGGTGAAAGATCTATGGTCATCACCCTTTTACCTTGTTACTCTTGGACCTGGAAAAATAATACACCCAGTGATGTCTGAACTTCCATTCTACATGCTTGTTTAAAGGAGAACTATGGGGTCAGTGTTTTTCCCCATAGTTCTCCTTAGGGTAACGGGAGGACACAAACTAGCGTCCTCCCGTTACCCTAAGCTCAGTATACCGCGAGCTACAGCTCGCGGTATACTGAGACGCCGCAGCCGGAGCGGATCCCGACGTAGATGACGGGATCCGCCCAGCTGCGTGAGTGACAGCTGGCTCTGCCTATCTAGAGGCAGAGCCAGCTGTACCCGCCCCCTCCCCCGTCCGTTCCGCCAGTCAGCGCTGGCAGATCGGAGCAGGGAGAGGGGAATCCAGCCCCTCCCCCTGTCACAGCAGAGAGCCGTGACAGGATCGAGAGGCGAGCGAATCCGGTATGTGTTCGCTCACCTCCCGATCTACTGAGCCGACCTGTGACAGTCTCATTGTCACAGATCGGCTAGAACTATGAGGTGAGTGAAAAGCACTCACCTCATAGTTCTCCTTTAAGCTTTAAGATTAACTAGATACCGAAGCAGGATACAAATCAGAAATGGCAGTTCCCACATTTCTATCCTCACAGATTTTCCCTCGGAACCAGAAAGATTACCAATCCTAATTCACGGTATCAAAAGTATCCTTTAGTCCTTCATACTTAATATTTGACTAAAGGATCATCAGAAAAACTTTCACAACAGAATATCTACAACCATCATACATTTTATCCGGTGGCAAGCTGCTATCCAGAGTCCAGTCATGGTAATCAGTCTCTCCTAAAAACAGCAGTAGAATAGTATTCTCTCTGGCTTAAAGTTTGTCAGATGACAGCATTAGCCAAAGTCAGTGTCTTGAACCAAAAAAAAAGAAGAAAGAAGCAGCAGGGCAGTGCATTTATCATGCCTGGATAGCTCCATAGCCAACATTAAATGCAGCCTAAAATAACAGGGCCACCAGAGGAACACCCAGTCATCTGCACATCATGCTTTATGACATCAAGTATGTGTCTGCTGTTGAAAACTATATGCCCTTTGTTGTAGAGTAGAGTCATGTAATGTCCTTACTGTGAGGTCCTTGGTACAGATAAAGTTCAATGTGCATTTCCTTCTGATTATTTAGTAAAATATTACTTTAAATACAAAACACTATTTTACTACTTTGCACCCTAATGTTTTCTTCAATTTGGGGGTTTCTAGTTTAGTAGCATGGACAGTACTTGCTTTTCTCCAGCACCTTAGACAACGTGGCTAATGGTTTCAGCCTGAAATAACCAATCGGACAGGATGCCACCACCCGTGTTAAAGTTATATTACGGCAAAAGGTTTTTAAACTTTTACAAATGCTTAAATCACTTACAATGGATGGTCCTGTTTAAAAGTTGTAGTTTCCTGAGGAATCAGCTGATCTCCTGAGCACTGGCCCTGAAATACTGTTTTAGGGTGGCTACTTTCCCTTTGCGGGGTTCTATGGCACCACCCTGGTGTGTTCTAGTAAGCTGTGTGCATCTTCGCAAACACACAGACACAGCAATGCAAGCCTCTTTTCTGCTCTCTGCTCCCCGCCTCCTTTCTCCAAGCTAGTAGTGATCTTGTACCGGACAGGAAGTTCAGGGAAGAGGAGCTGAGAGAGTTGGAGCCAACTGCTCAGAAACGTGATGACTAAGTGCTTTGGAAAAAATTTAAATTAATTAATACTTTGCTGGGCGATGTAGATTTGTTTGATCTGGATTCATTATTGAAAAGAAGCTTGCAAGTTGAATACTACCTTTAAAGTATATATAAGCCCAAGAACAGAAATGTAATAAAAATGCAGTTTACAAGTTCTTAGATGTGGTGGCTGCATTCAACTTTTTTGAAGTGCAGTACAGTTTCAAGTGCAGAAAAATACCTGCTGATCCTGTCAGAAAGCGTGCCCCCTTATAAACTACTATGGACTGCACCGAAATCTAGAAAAATGCTGTCGGCTATCTTCTTATGAACTACAAAACAATACACCTCTATGTAATGGAGATGAGGATATTTTTATTTTACATTAGTCATAGTCCAAATTAGTAAAGCCTAATGTGATAATGTTGCTACAGTAAGTGAGTTGTCAACCAAGGACAAGAAGTGTATAATTGGCAGAACCACCAGGTTAAAAATAAAGCCTGCAAAAGAAAACTAATGCAACCACATAATCTAAGGACTGGTAAGCTGAAATATATTACATTACATTTTGTTTTTAGATTTAGTCATGCTTTAAGCAGTATTAGAGAGTGTTTGCTGTGTGGTAATGAATTTATGTACATGATGCACAAGGAGCTTAAAAGTTGAGCAACACTAGAAGTTAAAAGGAATTTGGGTAATTCTAAGGAGCATGGAGCCTTGGGCAATAGCCGGGTTTGCGACTCAACTGATGTGCTTGCACAGACAATACATGACAATCTTTCAATACAGCAAAAATAGACAGTTTGGATGATCTAGTGTATTGTATACTGAGCAGACCTTGACAGCTGCGAATGGCTGTTCTTGTGAGACAAAGTGTTTGGACTTCATAGAAAACCTTATCTGGTCACCTGACACGAGATAAGCAAGTGCCACAATAGCCTGTGTGCTCCCTCCTGCTGCCTTCATTACATAAGTAGGAATACTTGTGTGACAACAGCATTGCTGTTTAAAGGCAAACGCTATACTCTGTCTCCATAAGACATTAGCAATATGTGTGCATAAAGCTGACTGTTCTCTAGTGTCTATTGTTCACTTAAAAAAAAAAAAGATCCTTTTTTACTGTTAATCCTTCTTAAGCAATCTTTTTAGCTCCAAACAGATGACAAAGAAATAACTCATGTACATACACTATTTTTCCACACTCTATTTCAGGCATATCATTCAGCATGGTAACTTTGATAATAATGATCAAATGCATTTAGCCATTATTGAAGCTGCTGAGGTGACCTTTGCTTATAGTAACATACAAAAAAGCATATATTAAAATGACACATTATTCGGTATTAAGCTGGGACACTATATAAAACACAATTTTATAAAACACAATATAACCCCTCATAAGCATCAGCAAATCTGTTTAACATAACAATACGTCACTTCCATTATTTAGCACATGAAATATGCATCACAAAACGTGAACTATGCAGAAAATGGCAACATGTACAGGCACTGAATACATTACATTTAAAAAGCGAAGCTATAGATGCAAGAGTATTACAATTCATAATGTAGAAAATAAAATAGCCCCTCTTAAAATGCAAATAGCAAAACTTAATAAGACCCAGGTGGCAGAAGATGAATCCTGCTTTCAGCTCGAAATACATCCTGCATCGGCTATTCAGCAAAATGTACTTAGTGGCATGCAGATCGTTATTTATAAAGGAAATAAGGCACATATACTTTCATGAAGATTAGTTTAAGCTGTCACAAAACAACATACACCAGAACCCTGACAACGTACAATATTGCATTATTGCAATCAACTGGAGGCACTGCAAGTTCAAGAAATGAGCTAGTCACAAATGAATAATAGAGAAATTGTTAAACATACCTATACATTTGTGTAGATCTACAGCTATTATAACCAACTAAAATGCATGTGCACCTAAATCCAAGCCAATTCCTCCAGCTCTTCCTTCAAAACAATACTGACAGTCACCTGGTCTATTGTGTGTCTGTTTTTACACCAAGATGCAGCAGTTTGCAAAGTGTTCACAGCAACAGTTGGTGGTCAAAAGCTGTCCACGCACATTAAAATGTAATGGTAAAGTCTACTATGCTTGGGAAAAACTGCAACGAAATCTTGGAGTGTGGGATCACATAATAACCTTCACAGTTCTACACAATTATCTGCAGTGCCATCAACAGGTGAAAGCCTGAAGCTGGCCATACACTATGCAAATTTTGGATGGTTCTTGATTAAGCTGATCGAAGGAGCCGGCTCTGTTCGGCTACTCTGACATCGGTCAGAATACAACAAAGAGAGCGGGAGATTCCTCGATTGACGCACGTAAGTGTTGATGGAGGAATCTGTTTTGTTTTCTTCGTTCAGCCCGAAGGTTACACAAAGAAAATATTACAGTGTATGGGCAGCCCTACTTTTTGAAAAAGGCCTCCAGTCTGCATGTTACCATTATGACAGAAATGATACGGTGATCTCAAGATCAGGAAACACTTGGATTGGTTCCCTGTCATCCGTGGGGATTAGCGCTAATACTGTCACCAGTATTAAGAACCACCAGCTGTATAAAATGTCAAAAGGAAGAACATTTTATAATGTATCCCCTGCACAGGGCACTGTGGAGAACAACATCAACATAGAATTTGTGAGATTGTGAGTTGGAAGGAGTTAAAGGGCATTTTAGTTTAATGTTCTAAAATTAATTTAAAAATAAAATTTATATATATATATATAGCTAAGCTATGGATGGTATAGTGTGAAAACCATGAAGGTGTGTGTGCAGTTTTGCCAAAAACAGATATTTGGTGCAAGTGCTACATGGCCATTTTGTCAGAATGGTCTGATCATCACAATGGCACAACTTACAAAAGGCAGCCCAATCTGTATGTGAATAGCCAGTGT